TCACCAAGGTGTTACACAAGAATTTTAATGAAATTTAAATATGTGGTAGTTTTTCAAAAATCATTTGACATATTTTTTTATATCTGCTGACATCCATGTTAAGAAGGTGAAAATAGTCCTCAAAATTAGGGATTGAAAACACATTTTCCTTAATATCTTGGAAACTAAGTGGTGTACGAGGGTGCATTTTTTTTAAACTGTGTATTTTTGAATGAGAAATTTAGCTGATTACAAAAATATCGAGACAAATTATTTATTTAAATAATATATACAAAAATTGGATTTTTTATTCAATTTTTTATCCTAAATGCAGTTCGATTTTTATGCATATTTATATAGGTAAAATATGGATCAAAATGGGAAAAAAGTGTTTTTGAAATTTTTTGTTTATTGCAAATTAGCAATAATAATTACATATATAATTTTCTCCTACTTTTTACGGAGAAAAGTGTTGAGATTTGTTTTCAAAGAGGGTGAGCTTCTTTTATATTCAGTTTTATAATCAGTTGCTACGTTTTTAACAATTGGATAATATTACATGTTTATTATTCCTTCGGTAGTTAGAGAAGGTCCAGCGGACTAGTATAAATCCACCGCGGTACTAGTTGTCGCCGTACAGATGCAGTCAACATCTTTTTTACCTATTTCTGTCAATGAAGAGGAAATGGAACAAGCTTCTACTTAAAATTTTTTTTCCGCGTGTAATAGAAAATACGCGTGTATCACCTTGGTGATGTCCCTTACGAGTAAATATCAAATTGACTGCTTTAAATGAACACATTCAAATATTTTTTAAAATATTGATAGTACAAACAACTGTTTTAAACAGAGGTTAAATGATTTCAAGGAGCAAATCATTTAGTAAATGCATTTTTCTTTCACATGGACACATATATTGAGGAGATATGAATGTCAACTTTGTGTTTGAAAAAGGCATTACATAGTCTTCAATGCACTATTAAATTCATTTTATGTTTTATTTTAAATAAAAATTTGAATAGGATGGGTATATCAAATTTCTGCTAACATCACTAGGTCTGACAACCTTTGATTTTTTCCTGTAGGGATATTTAAAATATAATGTTTATGCAAAAAAATATATAACGTTAAATGATTTAAAAGAAGATATTCTTTATGGATGTCAACAAATTTTCATAGAAATTTTATAAAGAATTAAGTCATTAATAGATTAAATAATATGAATTCAAGCTAAAAAGAATACTTTGGAACACTAGCTTCAGAAAGATAAGTTCTAAGAAATGTACATTAGTATTTATAGTGTCACCCATCATAAAAATGGTAATATCTTTTAAACTTTAATGATTTCTCATCACAAGTAATTTAATGTGTATTTTCATAAGAGAATAATGACATTTAGGTGAATGGTATATTAAAAAATAGATAATTCCATTTAAAAAAATAAAATTGCCCCTTAAACCTACTTTACACATTCATATGAAAGACAGCCAATTCACTAGATGATTTGACCTGAAATCATTTAACTTTTGTCTGAAAAAACATTCTATTAAGTTATTAAAATTTTTTAAGAGATTTGACTAGGTCAATTTAAATAGGACAGCCGTATATGTAATTCGCTTTTAAAGATACAGAAAAGTCCTAACTGCTTGTGAAAAAGTTCCAAATTGCAAGAAAATTGCTTACTGCCATCCCCTTAGTTCAAGCAATTGAACTAAGTCTCAAGAAGTCAGTTATTGAATAAAACAAACAAATGATTTGTATATGATACTAATTAATGTAACCACAGTTCAGAATCATGTATATCTGTATAATATAAAATATAACAATATTACGACATCTGACAATTCTTTGTTTTCATCACCTGTTCAATACTCAAAGCTGGTGATTCACTTTTTGTAGCTGCTAGTTTTTAGTCTCACATGATAAGTAGTAATCATATCTTATGCAAAAGACCTCAAATAAATATATGTTATCAATGTAAGTACTTGTGGGTTTCCATTCAAATATAATCTATTCTATTTTTATATATCCAAAAATATTCCTAATACAGTATTCTCTCCGTAAATGTGGAAAAGATCTCTACAGTAAAAGTAAAAATTTTATCCCCACTGCTGGGAGAATCCCCCTCGGAATTAGTCAAGTGTTGGACACGATCGGTCGAGGATCACGAATATCGGTGAGACACATACTAATGCAAGCAAAGGAAAAGATTGCAATTTTCTTATTTCTTACTATTTTTTCATCAAACTTTTACCATCGTATTCATCTCGTTTTCCTGATTAAAATGACATCAAACATGATATAATTACGTTAACAATTACGTGTGTAACGAGTGAGTAAAGTTTTTAACATGAAAGAGGACGGTGAATGGAAAAGAAAGAGAGGCAGTAGGTTAAAGCGTTCGGCAAACATGAAAGACTCATGCGTGTTCTGTCTGTCAAATTCAAAAATCGAAATTCTTTATTTTTGGTTTTTTTAGTCTCGTTTTTCTGATTAAAATGATACCAAACACGGTATAATTAAAATCATAATTACTTGTATAGCAAACTGTTAGGAGGAATTCGTATTTCTGCCGTAAATGTAAAGTTTGCCGTAAGTGTGAAAATCCGAAACTTTTATGGTTTGTTGCACAAGTATTGAGTAACCTCCTCCTTTTTCGAAGTCGGTTAAAAATACGCTCGAATCCTTCATGTTTGCCGAACCTCAATCGCTCTGTGTTTTTGTGTTGTTATCCTTTTCTACGTTTGATTCACTACAAAGAATGTAGTACCTGTTCTATAAATGTGAAACTTTATATCCGAAGTTTTCACACTTATAATACTGTATAATTATGCCTATGACTATATTATTATTATTATATGTATGTCATCATGTGGACTCAGTTAAATATTTTAGACAATGTTAAGTATGATATATTAAATATGTCTTATTAAAATATGTATATTATACTCATAGATATTTTCTTAAAGAAAGATTAATGATACCATTGTTATACAAGGTGTGCCAGCAAACACTTGTAATGTCCAAAGTTCAGTTTCTTCATGTCAGAAAAAATTAAAAAATCCTTTAACACTTGCTAATCTACAGGTTGATTTTTGACATATAAACAATTAAAAATTAGGTATTTTATATCTGTATTCATGCTGTCCTATACAAGTATCGACATTAGTCAGACAATTGAGAATATTTTATGCATAATCATGAAAATGTGCATACAGACATTGACTCATGCACCAAGCTACACAATTTTTAATCGCATATCTTCTAAAAACTAAGCTGTGAATTACAAAATGATAAAGGACTTTTTGACTTTTCTTGTGTGGATAACATATAGTTTAGAGGTTGGAAGCTTCAATCAAGACACCTCGAATAATAGTAGAATATACCAATTATAATGTAAATGTAATTGAAGCTTTTTGCGAATATGTGTGAAATTAAGATTGGTCACTGGTTACACATGTAGGAAATTGTTACTCAAAATGTTGATTTTGACAATATATTACAAAGTCTATAAATATATATCCTCCTTGACATAGTATTATAATTTTTAATATATATATTTTCATTTTATGTTTAAATTAATGTACATCTCAAAATAAGTTCATATATTTAAAAAATTAGAATGTTATCTTTTTATAATTTTAAATGATATTATGTGTCACTTATACTAATAGTTCGAGTAAGTAATACCAAATTCATACCGATACATGAGAACTATGTGTATCGTTTTTTGTTGGATGATAACACCTTGCTGGAGTTGAAGGTGGAGTAGCTTCTCCACCTTGGCTTAATGGTTCTTCACATTCTTCTTCCTGTACTAGTTGTTGTAATTCACCACATCCAGACTTTTCAGTCATTTTAATAATTTATATATTTAATACATATATTTTAAATCATGATACGTTTGTAATTAAATTTTCATTTCTAAATAAATGTCTACACATGCACAAAACATTATTTGTATATGTATATGTATATTTATGTACATACAATGCGATTTTTATTTTTTATATTATTATTATAATTTAAACATGGTATATCTATACATGTATTTATTACTATAGATTACTGTATTTTTTTATAAAATTAACGTTTGTAACTTATAACCTTTTCAATGTCCTTTATCTATATATAAATATATTCGTTTAAAATATTCACTAACAGTTTAGTTTATGTGTTATTTATATCTTATATATGTATACATTTTATTATTAAATGAATAAAAAAATCGTGTATCAAAGACCCCTTGCGGAAAAACTGAAAAATTTCAGACAACGATCAATGACTACAGTATCTGCAATGATCCTTAACAAAGAACACAGATGCAACAAGAAGCGATACTTGACAAGGAAACTCATTTCGTAGAGAGAGACAGAGGATGCCCAAGCCAACCTTCATGAAGCTACCCGAAGAAATAACGAAATATGATTATTTGTAATTTTTCTTAGTGTATTTTGTTTGTGATTGATTGTGCATATTTATTCTTTTGTAACTAGCAATTTTATGTGAAGTCTAGTGACAAAAAGAACCTAGCGTTTACTTGCAGAAGTTCGATGACCTTTGTCTATCTTATATGTTTTTGGTTGGGAGAGACAAGAATAGTAGATATCTATTGATTTTTTAAAAATGTGGAAAATACGAATTTTAAACGCCAATTGCATTTTGTTAAAAAGTAACATTTCGCCATGATTTCTTTTGCATACTATTCTCAGAATTTTAGTCTAGATCAGTACGGAGCCTGATTTTGCAATTTTGTCCAAGCAAATTTCATGAGCTTGTAACGTGAGCGTACATGGTTATCATTCTGAACATAGTTAAATTACCCACATCCTAAAATCCCTAGACCGCGAACGGTAAACGCAACAAAGGTGAGTGTTCAAATTTTGTTGCACTTGGGCTTGGAACATTATTGTCATTTTGAACGTTGCCTACTTCAGAGTGCAAACTTATGTGGATGAACCTGTATGCACATGTATTATACAAGTATAATATAAATTCAATATTTATATATATATATGAAATATATAAAAAATTAAAGTCAAAATTTAATAATACTTAATAAATTTAACGTTCAATATAAGAACGTGATATACAAATAGTTTAATTTTATTAGTTTTAAAAAATGTCAAGTAGTAGAACGACACCTTTACATTTTGAAATATTTTATGAATGTCAAACCACAAAAGCTAGAACTGGAAAAATAACTCTTACTCATCATTATGTAGATACACCTGTATTTATGCCAGTGGGAACTCAAGTAAGTTGTGATATGTAAAATCTGTTTACTGTATTAAACAATTGTATATTACTAATATTTTAGGGTACTTTGAAAGGTTTATTACCTCAACAGTTAGAAGAATTAAATTGTCAAGTTATTCTTGGAAATACATACCATTTAGGGACAAGACCTGTAAGTTATTAAAATTATTTATATTTTATTATAAAAATTGTACATAATTATTGAAATTTAATAGTATTTACCATAAACATTAGTAAATTCCATCTGCTTAATTTATTAATTTAATTAAAGTGTTATGTACCTTTTATTAATAGAAAAATTATTTTTTAGGGTCTTAATGTTATGCGGAAAGCTGGAGGATTACATAAATTCATGAATTGGAAAAGAGCTTTATTAACTGACTCTGGAGGTTTTCAAATGGTATCATTATTGGAGCTTGCTGAAATTACAGAAGAGGGTGTTAAATTTAAATCACCATATAATGGTAATCAAAATTTATAAATAAAGTAAATTTATATTTTATTACAAATAAGTAAAAAGCTCAAAAATTTATAAATATTATTTCTTAGAATCAGACTGCATGTTGACTCCTGAACACTCTATACAAATACAAAATATAATAGGTGCAGATATAATTATGCAGCTTGATGATGTAGTTAAAAGTACATTAACAGGACCAAGAGTAGAAGAAGCAATGCATCGGTATTTGTTGTGCAATTATATTGATTGTGTTATTAATACATTGCTTAATATCTAGTGTCTAATTTTAGAACAAATAGATGGTTAGATAGATGTTTAGCAACTCATAAAAGATCAAGTGAACAAAGTATATTTCCTATTGTGCAAGGTGGCCTTGATTCCAAACTAAGAACAAAAAGTGCAAAGGAATTAATTAAACGTAAAGTAAATGGTTATGCTGTGGGTGGATTAAGGTAACAATTTACATGATATTCTAAGTAAAAATAAGAAGTAATTATTGTACTGTTAATTGTTCACAGTGGTGGAGAAAGTAAAGATGATTTCTGGAAGATGGTACATCTTACTACAGACATACTTCCAAAAAATAAGCCACGTTATTTAATGGGTGTTGGATTTGCTACTGATTTAATTATTTGTTCTGCTTTAGGCATAGATATGTTTGATTGTGTGTTTCCCACAAGAACAGCAGTAATTATAGACTTTTTAATTCAACTTTTCTAAATTTTCATAGAACTTTATAAACAAACGAATACATAAAATTCATCATATATGTGCTATTTTTTTTAGAGATTTGGTTGTGCATTAGTACAGACAGGTCAACTCAACCTAAAACAAATTCAATATTGTAAAGATATGATGCCAATAGATGAATCATGTGAATGTAATACATGCAAAACATATACACGGGCTTATCTTCACCATATAGTGACAGTAGAAACAGTCGCATGCCATTTATTGTCTGTCCACAATATTGCATTCCAAATGAAATTAATGCGAAGCATTAGACAAAGTATCAAGGAACAAAGATTTCCAGAATTTATACAGCAATACATGTTAAATATATATCCAGACAAGAAATATCCAGCATGGATAATTAATGTTCTGAAAGCTGTCAACGTTAACCTGTTATAATTAGTAAGTATGTGAGTAAAATGTAAGTCATTGAAAGTGTAAGTCATTCATACCTTATAGAGATGATAATCTATATCATATAAAATGAACATTTGTAAAAATTCAATCACAAAATTAATTAATATTTGAAAATTAAATATCAATTTTATTAGCTTTACAAATTTTACTGTTACCAAATACCTAGTTTAAAATCTCTTATATCTTGAAATGATATCGCAAATTGCAAAAGAAATTTTTGAATTTATTTTGCCATAGAAAATCTGGATACTCGATATAATAACATATGGTATTAATCAGAATTAAGGTTTAGATTGTTCCATTTGAATCCAGATGGAAAGATATCTGTTTCTAATATGCTAAAATTAACGAATTTTTCACTCAGAAGCTCACGATTATATTCTGTTCCTCAGCAAGCTAATACATACTATAATACATATTGCGCGTACGATAATTATGTTAGAATAAAAACGATCATGATTTTATCCCCATAATGTCTACACTACACTTAGGTCAAAATTTCAGTGTGTGGTAGGTGTCAAATAGGCGTCAGTGTATGCCTTCAATGATTAATCTTCTTGCTTAACATTTTCTTTGATCGATAGATTACTTTCAATGAGTTCTTAAAATGGTAATGTAAAAATACAATAATTTTCTGATGGATATCAAATAATACTAATAAGAAGAAAATTATGTTAACAAATCAGATCCATTATATCATTACATACCATTATATACCACTTTGACAATTTTCAAAAAGCGATTTACTGAATAAAAAGAGTGTTTACACAGAGAAAAAACAAGACAAGATAGAGGCAGGTATATTAATTGGAGGGGTTCCTTGTAATAGACTTTGACACTATAAAGCGAGAACACATCTCGTGGTCACTGATACATATGTATAGAAAGGTGGATTCTGCGGTTATGTATATATACAGTATGTAAGTGTGACAGTCTCGATATTTCAAGAATTATTGATGACACAAAAAACTGTGTATGTAGAAATTGCAAGATAAAATGCGATTTATGTTTTGGCATAAACAATAATTTTGTAATGTTATTAATATAAAAAATATGATGATGAAGTTTCGTTTTTTAAATGGAACTATATTCTTTTTTCGATCGAGCGATATTGCTTGTCAAGACGAATTTATTGAAATTTAATCTACTCATCTGATTTTTATTGGTTTCTAAGACATAACATTTAGAAATTTATTGATTTTGCTCGATTTGAGTAGTAAGTCATAAAAATGGTCTTATTGGTAGTGTCACGTATTTGACTCTGCTATTGGAACCGATAGCGGCGGTCTACACCCGGAAAAGCATGTCCGAAGCACAGTAGGCTCACTCCGTGTCGGAACCTTTGATCTCATGACCAAAAGATTGCCATGTTGCTGGTTGTGCGCGGGCTCTAATTTGAAAGACACAAACAGAAAGAAAGAATTTTACTAAATATTTTAAAAGAAAATAAGACTTTAGAGTAATAACTCACTTGATGGGAAGAAAGTTAGAGCTATTGTAATTATATGGTACATAAATTATTGTGTATATTTACAAATAATTAACACCTTTGTGTTTATTTTGTTGTACATATGTATTAATTTATTTTTAATTAAAATACAATTTCATCAAAATCATTGTATAAGAATACAATTATTATATACAATAATTAATAAATACGTGCTTCCTACGTCGTTATAAACGACGTTAGAAAAATATAATCTGATAATCATAATATTGACAAATGTGTTAATCTGATAATCATAAAATTGACAAATGTGTATCCATCCTTGATCCATCAGTCATAATGTGATTTAGATGCTGAATTCTTCTTTTTCTTTCTTAATTTCAGTTGATTAATGTATACCTAAAAATATTTATGAATATTAATTAATTAATATAATGAATAAATAATAAATTCATGCACTCTCCTTTAAAAGCTATAATAAATACAAGATAAGTAACATAATAAACTAACCTTTCTACATCTTTCGGGAATCGAAACAAAGTTAGTTTCACTCCACGTTTTTCGCTACTTGCACTTTCATAACCTTCTATGCAACATCTGTATCCACCTCTTTCGTTCATTTTATTTCACACTTTATATCTCTCTATATGTATATTGATTTATTTCTTGAAGAGGATACACGACAAAAAAGACCAGAACATGTGCTTTTCAGCTGTTCACAATCGCCATGTTGCTGGTTGTGCGATTCGGTCATGCGCGAGTGACAAATATTAAGCCACTTTTGGGCGGAGTGAACCTACTGTGCTTTCTTATACTGTGTCTGTGTCCGAAGACTAACAAGGTAAGGCATGGAAGTGTTCCCCTCCAATTTTGATGGAACTTCGTAAGTTTGTTAAGCGATACCTTAAAATTTTAACCCACTTGTGCCATCTCGAAAACCGCACGAAATACATTAAAACTTCTAATAGGGCAGTAGTGTGGTTTTTTGCATATAACAAGTTGTTAACAATTTGGGCAAAATGCAATTTGTTCATAACAGAAAAATTTTTCATAACCTTATTTTATAATATATTCAAATTTGCATAATGATAAAAAATGAAAAGAATTTTATTCTAAATCCATTGACATATAACGTTATTTATAAGCATAAATGACGCACAATTATATTTGCGTTATACGTAGCTGTTAATTTTATTAAATTTGTATTAGGTATTGCAAAACATTTATTATTGAAGTTATAAGTCAATTAACTTCATCAACGTTATATGTCAATTTTATTAGTCAACGAACAATTTGAATAAGTTTAGCAACAAAATCGTAATATTCCTAAAAAATGTTTTCAATCTAATGGCTTTTGGTAATTACTGTTGCATCATGACATAAAAAATTGTACTACACCATTCTGATCATAATAGATTCTTCTAATTCTCTATGATTCTACACCGGTTTCTCCATACAGGTACGAAAGCATTTGTTAAAAGACGCGAACGATAAAGCGTTTAGATATGAAACATTCGCTTTAAAAAAGTCTAATAATATTTGCTCCCTCTAGTGTATTAATGGTTATATTGGGGACATGCACATGGGACTGTATGCGTTTATTAGTTGAAGTTGTGTGTGCAATGTAGAGAGAGGTGTGTTTGGAAAAAGGAGTGGAGGAGATGGTAGAGTGGGGAGGAGAGAGAAACGAGAGGTGTAAAGGCGGACACGAAGGAGAATATTTTCGGTTTTGTGATTGAGATGGCGCCGCTGCGGCGTAGCAAACTGTAAAGATTACTGTAGGCGCAATGAGCCATAGACTAAGTTTCCATCGAGGGTTCAAATCGGGTCAGAGTCGGGTTAGAGTCGGGTTTGAGTCGCGGGTTGGAGTTGCGGCAGGGTTGAATATTACCAACTGCACAAAGTCAACTACCATATGCTGACATGTAAAGCTGAGCAATATCAAAATAACATACAAAAATTATTTCTCAGATTACAAGATCACTAACAAAAAGTAATAATAACCTCTTCTATACCGATTAATACAGCACGTGATACACAATGCAATCTGGATTTGTTATGTTGGCAACACGAACTCGACTCTTGTCGTTTCCACCGAACCCAATTGAACGCTACCCTAAAATTTTGTAGGGTAGAGTTCAACTAAACCTTTGGTGTTTCCACCGTAAAAGCGTCCACCCCAACCCGACTTTGACCCGATTTGAACCCTTGATGGAAACGTAGTCATAGTTTGGCCAAAGTAAAATAAAAAAACCTTAAGCGTCACGTCTAATTTCAAAGAGTATAGAAATTCACTAAATCCAATGGTGTGAAGTTCGTCGAATGTTCTCTGTCTATTTACTGTGTTTTTGCAATTTTGTCCAAAATAATTTTATGCACTGAAAACTAACATTTCTTATAGAAGAAAATTTTTCACGTCCCATTTTTCCAAAATCGGCCTGCGGACCGACCTAGATTAAACTTCTGAGAGTAGTATGCAAAAGAAATCCTGTCGAAATATTACTTCTTCGCAGAGTCGTTTTGGCTCGCGTAATGCGTGTTTTTTCGTAAAATCATATTTACCGTCCTTGTCTCTCTAACCAAAAACACAGTAAATAGACAGAGAACATTGTACGAGTTCACACCATTCGCTTGCACTCTATGAGGGCGCCTCGATCGTTTTGGCTAGCACCTTTAAACCTTATTTGCTCCCTCCGCTAGTAACTTTGTGTTATTTATATCTAGTTAGTTAGTTAGTTAGTTATTCACTTCTAATTACAGAAGTTGGCGTGGAAGAGCCGCTGCTCTTATTCGCCTCTTATACTACTAGTTACATGCTTCTTTAGTTTTAACAATAATAATACAGATGGCGCAGTAGAAGCCGCTGCTCTATTAACATTCACCCTCTCATACAGTCTCTTTAATTTATATAATACTTATAAAACTTATAACACTTATAGTCTACCAAAAAAGGTTTACAAATTACCAACACAAATATATCTTTTCTCCAAAACATAACATATCCTGCACACATTACTATCTTACAGAAATGTAAAAATATAATCTCTAAAAATTTGTACATATTCTTACTTAACCCTACCTTATTATCTATCAATTCCTTTTTTACACCACGATATTGCATTTCTTTAAAAAGCCCGCAATCAGTCTGAGGGCCCTCCGCCCTCGCATGGCGCTACTTTCAAAAAACTGTGCCCCTCTTGGTATATTGCACCTTCTTAAATTTTTTACTAACCTAACTCTTTGATCCACATACTTATTGCAAGACCATACAACATGTTCTATGTCTTCAAAATCATCACAAGTGTTACAGTAGGGAGAATCTTTCATAAATTTCCTGAATAATGACCAGTTCAAGTTATAATGATCTGATCTAATCCTATTAAGTATCGTAATAGTATCTCTCTTAACATTCCCAAGAAACCTGAACCAGGGGAAATCCTTCCCCACATTGTTCCATTTGGAATTGAAATATTTTCTCCCCTAGAATTCCCCCTGCCACAAATTTCTCTCATCAAATTCTTTCCATTTTTCCTTCGTGATAATTCGCTTAATATCTCTTCACAAAGCTATTACCCAGAATTCAGGCTCACCTACAGTATATTCCTTCGCCACCCTATCTGCTCTTTCATTACCTGTTATCCCTACATGAGTTGGGGTCCAGGCCAAGCCCACTCTACCTCCGCCTTCTTCTGATGCTTCAAAATTTCTTTTCTTTATTCCCCTTCTTATTTTATGTATCACGCCCATCTCTAAGATTCCTCTTTCCTCCCCTCCCAGAGCCCTAATGGCACTCAGAGAATCCGACAATATCAGAACATCCCTGCCAACCACCCTTCTTTCACCAGGTCAACCTCTTGGTTAGCTTCCCCTGACCTTCCGTTCCTAATCCTTCCTTCAATTGCTTGTATAACCTTTCCATCCTCTATAAAACCTTTCCTGACCATGTACAACACTGCTAGCATACCTAATCTCACCTCCAAATTCATCACCCCTGCTTTCATCATTTTGATTGGAGTGGACAACCTATATCCTAAAGCAACTCTAATTCCCGCATTGTGGATCTTTTGTAACCTATCCGTGTACCTATTCTTATTTCAGTAAACTATCGATCCATATTCTATTACTGACCTGACAATAGCTTTAAACACCCTTAATGTCGTTTCTGGATCGGCTCCTTTACTAACTCCTCCTATACACTTCAGAATGTTCATACTTTTCCTAACTCTTTCTACCACATATTTAGCATGCTCTCTAAACAATAGGTTCTTATAGAATACTACTCCTAAAAACCTTGCCTGCCCAACTTCTTCCACATCTACATCTCCTAAGCTTATCCTATTGCCCAAGCTACTAATACTTCCCTTCCTTCCCGAGAATGTCAGAATCTGGGTTTTCTCCGGAGCTATTTCCAGGTCCAATTCCGCCAAATGCTCTCTAAGTCTTTTCAACGCCTCTTCCAGCCTCCTAACTCCCTCCTCTCTATGTACATACTCCAAATATACAGCTATATCATCCGCGTATTCCAAGATTTTAACCTTTAGTTCCCTAATCACCTATCCCACTCCTGATGTATATAAATTATACAGTAGTGGACTCAAGATAGATCCCTGAAGCAAGCCCCTTAAGATACTCATCCTATTCGTCTCTCCATCCGCCTTCAACATCTCTAATTTCCTATCCTTTAATCAGCCTTCCAGAAATCCCACTATCCTAACCGGGCAACCTAGTTCCCTCAAGCCTATAACCAGTTTTCCATGATTAAAGCTATCATATGCCTCTCTAACATCTATAAAGGCACATATGACTTCCCTTCTAAGCCCAAAATTTTCCCTTATATAACTGGTTAAAATGACCAAATTATCCCAGGTGGACGTACCCTTACTAAAACCACTTTGGTTCCTGTCTAATCTATCCTCCTCCTCCGCCCAAACTCTCAATCTTTCATTGGTTATCTTTTCTAATACTTTCCCTAAACAATCTAGCAACGAAATCGGCCTTAGAGCCCTCCTTTGTGGCTTCGGTATAAACTTCAAAATGGCCTCCTTCCATATTTTAGGAAACCCTCCCCTCTCCAAATGTCATTAAAAATCTTCAGGAGTGCCATTCTCCAATCTGCAGTCAACAGCCTAATAACCTTGTACTCAATCCCGTCTTTTCCTGGAGCAGAACCAACCCTCGACCTACTTATGGTCCAGTCCAACTCCTCTCTCTCAATATCTCTGTCAAACCAGTTCCAACTACCCCCTTCCACAACTTGACCTTCCCTTTCATGGTCTACATTTTCTCCAATTACCTCTACTTCCTCTCCTGAGACCCTATCATAAAATCCTTTCTCAATTAATTTCCTAATCTCTTCTCTTTCCAACTCAATCTGATCTTTCCTACTTATCACTCCTGCCCGACTTGAGTCCTCCCCCAACCCCTTAGCTATAATCTTCACCTTTCTCCACATGTCCCCTACCTTACCTCCATCCTTTATTCCTGCTACAAATTCATCCCACGACTTCTTCTTCTTCTTCCTAACTATCTCTTTCATTTTCCTCCTAGCCTCTTCCAGCCTCTCTCAATTGACTGCATTAGGATTCCTTGTCATCAAGAAGGTTGCTTTCTTCCTTTCCCTTCTCAACTCTTCACACTCCTGGTCCCACCACACCTGTCTTTTAACTTTCCCTCCTTTAGTCTGTTGACCACTCCTAGGGGTCCTTCGACTACTTTCTCTATTTCTCTCCGTTCTTCCTATTCCAAACTCAACTCCCTCCTGCAAAAGACTCGTAAAATATCTACATCTGTCTTCGACTGAAAGACAAGAGTTTGCAATTTCAAGGATCAACTCCCCCCTTCCTACCAACCACCTTAACAAGATCTCTTGGTTCAGTTTCCTAAGATCATACTTCCTAACTCCCTCCCTGTCCTTATACCAATTACCTTTAAGCCAAGTTTCCACAATAAAACATACATACATCTAATTTAAATGCTTCTAACACCTCTCTCAACTCACTCACCTTATTCCTAACACTTCTCGCATTCCACACCGCAAATTTCATTTCTGTGCATTCATCTGATACTCTATTCTCTTATCCATCCTCCCATTCATTCCTCCGTCCACACTTTAATACCGTCTCCCACACTCATCCATCCACCCATCATTCTGCATTCTGTTCATTTCTTTATTTTCCATTGACAACCACACTTTCCCTGACACACCCACACCGAAAAACATTCCCATATTCCTTTCATACTCACATTCCAACATTCACACCTCACTTAATATCTCTAACTCTTCTTGTTTCTTCAACTTCACCTTTCATATTCACTTTCCCAGACCTCCAATTAACTCCTTACTTCCTCTCTTCTTGAGATCAATGGCAATCCTCCCATATCTCTTCGCTCACTATCGTTACATTTTCTTCGCTTCGGGCATTCCCTCGCCGTTGCCCCATAGGGTCCACCGCAATTCACACACTTAGGTCTTTTTTTACACTTCCCGTGTCTATCTTCCCCACACATCATACATTTCTTATTTGCCCTGCATGCAACTTGAACATGCCCTATGCCCAAATCCATAACACCAAAAACACTGTTTAACCGATTCTACAAACGACTCAACTTTTACTGAAACGTGCCCCTGACCTATAAAAATTCTAGTTGACAACGAATTGCCCCTAAAGACAACCATTATCAATCTTGTCGCTTCCCAGGTCAGCTTACCATCCACGAACCTCTTCTTCTTAATCCTTTCTGCCACGAAACTAGGTTGCCCCGGCATGACTTCATTCTTCAGCTCCTCCGTGGAGCCATCCCAATCATAAACTACTCCTTTTCTAAACCTCATCCTATCAGGAAAAAACGTAGTTACCGTCGACGCATGACCACCTCTTCTTCCATACTTGCTAAGTAGGCTATTCGCCTCCTCCTTCTTTTTTCATTCCACGCCAAATCGATCACTTTTGGAAGTCACCATCTCCGATTTTGTTAACCGCAATATATTGTAGTCCATGTGAAATTAGGGGGTGTTTAAGTCATCAATTTTTGCCCATTTTGGCGAAAATAGGATCCACTAAGGAATTTTTTTCTCAGAAACTACTTAACCGACTGAGCTAAATATTTTTTTTGTTTTATTCATGAAGGATTGGGCTATTTTAAAATATTTTTTCTAATTCCATCAATTTGTTATAAAATGTCGGAAAATTTAAACAAATTCTTTTTTTGCGTTTTTCTCAATGAGGGGCGTAAAGGGTTAAAATTTAAAAAAATATGTTCATATTCTTTGAAGCTTCCCCTTTAAAATGAGCCCTTCAGAACGATGGAGCCTCGAGAATTGACGTCTCTACAAGCTGGAAAAGGACGCGGGGTACCCCCGTTTCAGGTAGGTGAGTCGTGTCCTCCGCTATTATGATCGGTTTTTTTATACCACCGGTCTCAAAACAATACGACAAGACTTCGTATACGACTAAATGACCCTGTTATATTAATCTAGTAAACGTGCTTTCTCCACTGTACTTCCATATGTTTTAATTCTGTGGATAAAGAAAAGTACCTATTAATTGTGCCGAACTAGGGTTGAAGGATACTTTATAATACTTTATATGATATAATCGTACAGTGTATGGAAGGTCCAGTATGCACAATGAGTGTGGAACAGGAAACATAATTGTGTCATTTATGCTTATAAATAATGTATATATATCAATGGATTTGAAATAAAATTATTTTCATTTTTTGTCATTATGCAATTTTGAATAAATTGTAAAATAAGATTATGAAAAATTTGTCTGTTATGAATAAATTGCATTTTACCCAATTTGCTAACATCTTGTTGTTATACGCAAAGAATCATAACATCTTGTTGTTATACTATTTCCCCATTAAAAATTTTAATGGGGAATTAAATTTTGATGGTGGATATCGGCAAGTTGTCGGCGAGCCGTTTGTGTCGGTATGACAGTTCATCAGCAGAGAAATGACAGCGTAGTGAGAATCAGTGGAGGGTGCATAGTTGACAGAAGACTTGGCAGAAGGATGTGGAATATGAAAGGGAAGAGAAAGGTTCCTCAGTGACCTTACTTCGTCACTTCGTTTTTTCGAGGGTACGTCGTTTTGTCAAGAGCTACTTCGTCTTTCGAACAACTTGTCAGATTTGTCACGATACGCGATACATCAATGAACGCAGAATATTCTATCTTCGGTTCTAATTCATATTCCGTTTAACTTCGTTTTGAGTGGTCGGAACAGTTTGACGTGATGCAGTGATTTTTAAATTTTTTTCGATGAAATATTATGAATGCCTATTTTTTTCTCTAGATAATCTCATAGATGTTCTGTGGAATTGACATCTGGTGATTGAATCGGCGTTTGCAAATATTTGGATATATTGTATATGTAATACCCTATGTTGTGGGTGAATATAAACTTGCCTTCAAGACCCATTTTATTTGCACTAGCATGAAACATTATTTGCACTCCATTTGCATTGATACAACTCCAGACTAATATAAATCCTCTGCCGTGTTTTACCTTTGATTGTACATTTTTTTTTTACTAAATTGTGTATTTTTCTTCCTTCAAGAGCCTCCTGTCTCTTTTTTAAAGCTAAATATTTTGAATTTGCTTTCGTAACTAAAAATTACTTTATTCCAATATTCGATTGGTATATTAATGTGTTGCTTCGCGAATTCTAATCTTTTCTTACGGTTAGATTCGTTTACGAAATACTTTTTTTGTGTCACTCGACTATGATATTCGCTACTCTTTAAATAGTCATGCACAGTACTAGGTGACACATCAATAATATTGTCCTTTTTAAGTTCCGTTACAATTTGTTCAGCAAATATATGTGGATTCTGTTTCACTTTGCGAATAATTAGTCGCCGATCATACTCATTTACCTTACGCGGGCGTCCATTTCTTCTTTTATTTCAGTTTTCCGTTTTCCGAATCTGTCAATTATACTTTGAATGGTAGACGTTGCTCTATTCCCTATGCAAAAAATTTCACTAACAAGGGACATCACCCAATTGATACATGCCGATTTTTATGAAATTTTTATATGTTATAGAACTCGAAAAATATTTTTTTTTATCGGTGAATATCCACTTTGAAGTGGTGAAAATAACCCTTGATGTTGCGGTTGAGAAAGTTATTTTCGCAAATATCTCGGGTACTATTAAGTTTCGGAAGGCCAATAATACGGCGTACGTGAATTTTGGAAAGTTTGTTTATTTTAAAAATATGTTAAAAATTAATTGTTGGATGACCTCTCCTAAATAAATAATAAGTCATAACCAAACTATGACTCTTCCGATTTACAGTAACGAAAACAGCGTATTCACATCTGCCATTAGTCATAAGGGCTAAGGTCGTCCTCCCCCCCTAGAGTAAAGATATATGTATACTGTAACTGACCTTGGGTATTTAGAGAAGAGAATTGGTTTTGCTGCGAGTTAGCGACGTCGTTATTGCATCTAATCTTTTCACGACTTTCTGTTAAGTTGAGTTCGGCGTGACCGAAGAGATTTTAACCCTTTCATTACGGGTGCCGCCTATAGGCGGCGGTGAATACGATGAAGCAATTGTTATGTAGCTCATAAAAAAGTGTACATACAAGACAATCATAAAGTGGCGTTGAAAAACGTTAGTCCGAATATCGAAGACTACTGACGCGCAAAGTGCACACTTCGCGGCGCGGTGACCCGTTCAGTGGCGTCACTCCAGCGGAGCGGACTGCCGTAAGGAAAGGGTTAAATCGAATAAACTTTTAGTATATTAAAAGTGGTTTTTGTCCTCTACCCGGATTCCAACATAATATTATTTTGCAAATTTTTTTAATAAAACGTTGAACCATTTTGATCAAATTTCACACACGTAAACTATGGGTCCAAAGAAAAAATACGGATAAATTGAAATTTTTACGTACATTTTACACCCTTCATTTCATACCTTGATTTCTATACATTGTAACGAGACATATTTTCATGCCTCGTTACGAGTGGCCACCAGGCCCACCGGCCTCACTCTGCCCTGCCAATCCCCTCGCCGCGGGGTGTATGGAAGTATGAGAGTTCTTTTTATTTGTTCTTTTCTCCTCATACTCGCGCGCCCCTCCCCCTCACCCCCTTTGCGAGC